AATCGAACTCTTCGTCGCATAATATATTCACGCCCATGTATAGTAATAAAGACACTGTCCGCTCTGCTAAATCATTTGACGGGGAACGCGAGTAAGTCTTCAACGGGGAGGTCCGAAGTCAGAGAGGCGTTAAAACTCGAATTTTGAAAAAAATCGGAACATTTACGTTAAAAATGATAAGACGGAAGTGATAGCGAACGACGAAAAAAAAAACGCGAAAAAAAAAATTAATTTATCACGGCCTCCGCAAATTATCGTATATTCCCGGTGGCCGGGGGGTTTGAACCCACGACCCTCGAGTCACCTGTTCTAACGCCTAACCTACCTAACTACCTACTGAGATGAAAACCTGAGTCAAATCTATGACTCTTAAGCAGCGTTGCCGTCCCCGCGAAAGGCGAACGCCGTTTAGAAGAGGTTCAAAGGGAGTTTGAGCGGACGACCGTCGCGAGATTCGCGAAGAAAATCGAACCTCGAGACGCATGTATTTATGCCTGTATATAGCGATAAAATACACGGTACCTACTCTCGTTTAAGCGACGCCGCTCCTTGCCGGGACTCGTTTTTGAAAAAGTAGGGCCTCGCGCCGGTTATAAATTTAGCGGGGAACGCGAATAAGATCCAAACGGGGAGTGCGATACGACTGAAAGGGGATAAAACTCGAATTTTTTAAAAAATACGGCAAAAAACACGCGCGACGGCGGCGCTCGTACCGCACTCGATATCTGCCGCTGCGGGCCGGCCGGGAATTAAGTAGGACAGCGCGCCGTCTATAAATTTACCGAGGAACGCGAATAAGGTCCAAACGGGCCCTCCCGAGGCACCCGAGGGGGGTAAACCTCAAAAATGTTGAAAAAAAATTGTGAAAAATTGTCAAAACCGTGAAAAGTGGTAAGGAGAAAAGATAATGCAGTGACGGCTCCCCAAAAAACGCCTCGACGCATGTATTTATGCCTGTATATAGCGATACCTACAGGGTACCTACTCTCGTTTCCACGACGCCTCTCCTCCCCGGGACTCGTCTGTGGAAAAGTAGGGCCGCACGCCGGCTATAAATTTAGCGGGGAACTCGAATAAGTCGTCGACGGGGACGGTGATACGACCGAAAGGGGCTGAAACTCGAATTTTCGAAAAAAACGGCAAATGGAGCAGCCATATAGTCGTACTATTTTTTAATATAGTTTATTAATATCGTATTAAGAGGACGCTATACCCGCATGCGTTGTCTCCGTCTTACAAATGCACAACATAGCAAAAAATTGTTTTGCGCGGGAAAGAACCGAGAAGGCTACAATCATAACTAACAAACGATATTTTCACCACATAAAAAGAAGAACTTTGGCTGTGCAACGTTGTTTTTATTTTTTTGATATCATTTATATGAAAAAAGTTTTTCAAGTTTGAAAAACACAAACAATAACGGTTTTTTAAACAGTAAGAACTTTTTTCATATAAGTGATATCAAAAAAATAAAAACAACGTTGCACAGCCATAGTTCTCCTTTTTATGTGGTGAAAATTTCATTTCTTAGTTATGACTGTAGCCTTCTCGGTTCTTTCCCGCGCAAAATAGTTTTTGATATGTTGTACATTTGTAAGACGGAGACAACACATGCGGGTATAGCGTCCTCTTAAACAGTATTTATAATCTGTAGCAATATTTAACCCAATCGGAATCACCTAAAAACTGTAATATATCAAGTAGGTACTACATTACAATTATATTGTAGGTTGGTCACGGTAAAATCAAGTATTAATTAAATGTTAATTATTATTTTTTTGCAAAATAAATATATATAAATACCGATATATATAATATTATAATAACGTGAATTTTGAAAAAAATCGGAACACATGATTAATGTGACCAAAAAAAAATTCCATTTATCACGGGCGCCGCAAATTATCTATTGTCCTGGCGGCGGTTTCGAAACCACTACCCTCGAGTCACCTCACCTAACGCCTAACCAACCTAGCCACCTACTCAGATGAAATTCCGAGGCAAATGTATGACTCTTAAGCCGCGTCGCCGTGCTCGCGGCGATAAAATAAAATTCTTATCACTTTCCTTATCAATAAAAACAATATTTAAGAAAATCTCAATAAATCCTATCAAAAACTCAAAACCCCGAGTTTCCCCTTGGCGAGGTGGGTGTTAGTACTCTCCCGGACCAAAATCCATCAAAAAAGCAAAATCCAAAAAGGGGGGAGGAGGTGCCCCCGTTCCCTAAAGCGGAAAACGGTAGTATTCATAAAAAGAATGGGTTCCCCCTTGGTCCGAGGTCTTTAACTTGAATTCCGGCCGAGTTATACTCAACTCAAAATGTGGGGGGGGTGGGGGCTTTGGTTCCCTAATGTTGAAAATTCATCTGGGGCCTAAAAAATTGAGATGCCCATTGGTACGGGGTCTCTAAGTCGAATACCGGCTAAGTTATACTTCGTCAAAAATATTACTCGTTTAATGGGTCCCCCCACTCCGCCCGACGATCACGGGGTAATCGATTTATAAGACGTTATTATCACGTCAAAAAATTGAAAAACACGGGTTTTTGAATTTTTGAATCTCGAGCACTTGAACCGTTTCTGAATTTTTCGTTTTTACATATTATAATATTACACACGGAAATATCCCAATTTTCATAATATATAGAAATACGGAATAATAATAATAATAATAATGTTCGAAAATATTCGTCGATAAGGAAAAGGGAGATAAGCCAGCGGAATTTATAGCGAACGCGCGGGAAGTATTGTGATTGGTCGTCATGGAAGAAACGCGGAGTGCCGTGAGCGCTCCCCGCGGATCTTATACGCGTTATTAGCGTTTTATTATATAAGATATATTATATACACTATACACTGTACCTTGTATATACAGCATAGCAACAATAGTAAATAGTATTTATCGTACTTATTGAATATTATTTATATACGACATAAAAATCCCTAGGCTATTAATAATCTTCATAGTAAATAAATCCCCATAATAGAAACGTCATCGATGTTTTGACCAATAGTATCTTTGTTTTTTTTTTATTTTATACAAAATATCGTTTGTGGACTCGTAATCTACAATATTATTATTTAATAGCATAACGTACGTCATTCGGAGTAGTGACTTGAGTTCACTTTAGTGCTAGTGAATAATTAAATATATAAGTTCGATATTAATTGATTTTATATAGGTATTTTTATTGTTATCTAAATATTTAAATACGATGTCGAAAGGAGAACGAGATTTTAATTCAAAATTAATAGAAGCAATCGAAGGATACGTCTGCTTGTACGATTACAAAAACAAGGATTATAGAAATAGAGATAAGGTCGACCTGGCCTGGGAAAATGTTTCAAAGGAGGTAGGACGAACAGGTTAGTAAACAACTTTGAAATAACTTCGATAAATATTTGTTAATATTAATGATTACAATGGTTTTTAGTCATAAACTTAATTTATTATATAATTATACAAGTATAAGTATAAATATAAATATAAATATAAGTATAAGTTAAAAAATATATCTATAGCGACTAAAGTGATATTTTTATTTTCATATTTAATAACCATGTGATTACTCTATACTTCCCACAATTCTTAACCATTGAGGTAGAATAGCAACACCAGGTTTTAAGAAGTAATCACTGAGGTAGTCTCTCATTCCCTTTGCTGTCGTTAAAGTAACGTTTCTGTTTATTTCTAAGTTTACATTCGGCATATGAGTGTCTTCATCAATATTAACATAATTTCTTGGCGTATACATTTTTCCTTCTGTTTTGCGAATGTAATTATGCAAAACACATGCACATTTTATAATAGATATCACGTTTTTTTCTGAGCAACCTATAGGCGTTTCAAACACACGAAACTTAGATGTGAGCATTCCAAAGGCACACTCGACTGTCTTACGACTTAAAGACAGCCTAAAATTGAAAACTCGTTGCTTATCTGTTAAAGAGCTTCTAGGATATGGTCGCATAATATATGTTTTAAGAGGGAATTCCTCATCTGCTGAAAAATAATAAGGGAAGCTGTGTTCGTTTTCGTCAGGTGGTAATGGTTCTAGTGGTGGTAAATTAAAACTATCAGCTTGCAACCATCGACCTAAACGAGATGAACGAAAAACTCCCCCATCGCTGTTTCTACCAAGATCGCCTACATCATAGTAACAAAACAACCATCTTCATCTCCACACGCCATAAGTTGAACAGAAAAATAACCTTTGTAATTAAAATTACGTGAGGCAGTATATCCTAATTCTTTAATTCTTATGTGCTTGCCATCAATCGATCCCAAACAGTGAGGCCAAACTCCATAGTTGTTGATAACGTGCTGAAATGTTTTTCCATGCATTTGTATCTGGAACAGGTAACCATTCTGGATCTAAACGGGTCCATATACCTTCAGTTGTTTCTGCAACAGTCATACCAATTGTTCTTTCACCTCTTACGAAGTAGTGAGCCAAAGCTCTAAAGCTGCCGCCTGTGGCCAGATATCTGAAATAATATAATAAAAAAATGTTGTGAATTTTTAGGTTAACAAAATAAACACATTTTCTTGTTTTTTACGATTTAATAGAATATGTCCTGATAAAAATACTCATAAAATAATATAATTAATATTGATTTTTATAAAAACTCCAATTCCTATAAATATTGCTCATAATTAAACAGAGTTAAAAAATTCAAGTCAAACACTCATTTGTATACTGCCTAGCGGTTAATAGAATTGTTTTCTCTTTGTTGTAGCAAAATAGTGCAAGGAATCGTGGAGAAACTTAAGAATAGTTTATACACGTGCTATAAAGAAGCCACCTTCTGGATCTGGAGTGAATAATAAAAATAAGACGTGGTATCTTTCAGAAAATATGAGTTTTCTAAAACCATATATTAATATTACTTTGGACAAATCATTACCCGGAAATTTACCATCACCACCTAACAACGAGGAATTTCAAGAATTTGAAGAAGAAAGCCCAACCGAAATAAATAGATCGGATATACGCAATGACATTGAAAAACCCATATACGATGTTTCGTCTTGTAGTATTAGTGCAGATACTACCAAAACTACCAGCCAATATGCAATGGGGCCTCCAAAGAAAAAGAAAAAAAACACAAGTTGATACTGCAGACGATTGCATAATCAACTACATTCAGTCAAAGTCAAATAAACCACCAAATGAAGATAATGCGAAAAAACTTTTTTTATTAAGTCTACTTCCAGATTTAGAAGAAATTAGTACAGTGCAATTCAGAGCTTTCAGACGCGATGTAGGCAATCTTATTGACAGAACACTTGGACAACCACCAATACCATACTTGACATCTAACAACTATCAAACAACTTTTCAAAACATCATTCCGATTCCTCATCATACGATGGTCACTCTCACACATCAGAACAGAATTCTTCTGAGATTGACCACCCTAACATGCTGTACCAAGAACTTCAACCATATTTGCTCAGAAGACCAGAAAATTGAATAACAAAAACTAGTATTTTGTAATTAGTATACTGTATTTTTTTTTTATTTCATTAATTTTTATAACCCAGAAAATGTTTAAATTTGTAATTTTTTTTTTACTGAATTTCTATTTCTAGATAAAAAATATAAAATTAAACTTACCTCAATGTTATTATGAGTTTTTCTTCTGGTTCCAAAACCATTCTCCAGTTAGTATCTTTCTTCGTTATATGTGGTCCAACTGACTGCACTAAACGATGAAAAACAACTTGAGACATTCTATAGAAACTTTGGAATTTATCTTCATCGGTGGTTAATTCCTTTGCAACTATATAGCTACTATGCTGTTTATCTTTTAAAAGTGGATGGATCCAATACCTAAGTTTCCTTTTTTTGTTACGAAGCCACCAATATAACATAAACACATCCTCATCATCAGACGACATTGTCGAAACTATACATTAGTTTCTCACACTTTGTTTCACCGGTGTAAGCAAATAATAAATTAGTTTTGTAAAATTTATTTCTTAAATTGGTTTCTAAAACAAGTTTCTTCAGTGTGCAGCCCGCCTAAGAAACTAAAAAATAAAACATACCTGAAAGCTTTTACAAAGTTTGATGCATTTTCTGTCACAATTAATGTAATGTTATTTTGTAAATTAAACTCATTGACTATTCTATCCAGAATTTCAGCTATGTTATCTTACAGTTACACCAATATAAGCCCTTTAAATTTTAATAAGCTTAAGCATTTAGCATATTTAATAAAACTAGTTAATTTCTCTATAGTATAACTAGCACATTAATAGAACCTACTTTCAATAAATAATTATTTTATTTTATAATATATTTAGTATCTACATTTAAGGAATGTGCATTTTTATTAAAGTATTTTATTTTTTAATACTTCACAATTTTAATGATGAATTTATAATATTATTTGTTCTTGTATAATATACTGAAATTATAATATTTACCACATATTGTATTTTATTTAACAATTTAATCAAACATTTAAGTAGGTACCTAAATTGGTTAATCACACGTGAATTGGATACTTGGCGAGTGCATTTGTACAATGTATTGGTAAGTTTTACTAGTTGGTAGTTACAAAAATTAAAATCAATAATACAATATATCTCATTAACTTAAGACATTTTGATTTTACTTTCATCATTAATACATATACAATTTTTGTTCAAATGTATACCTAACCAATGGAACACTGGTACTTACTGGATAATACTTGGCTTGTTATACAAGCAAGTGAAAACAGACTACAAAATAAATTAAGTAAGTATAAATATTTTTGATTGTAATATTATTTAAGTAATTATTATATTTACAAACAAATATTTTAGATAGTCAGGATAATTGCAAAGAAGTGGAAAAAATCTAGTTGGACTATAACTACACATTACCAATGATATACTGTAATGAAAAGATGATGTTGTAATCGCAGAAAATATAGAAGACATAACTAACATGCTCGAAAAATTAACGACACCCTTAAAGAACACTTCATAAAAATAAATCAACGGAATACTAAGATCTTTATATGTAGCAAACAGCAGATTTGTGCAAACATAGCTTTAGATGGAATATTGCCGGAGACGGTTCAAAGCTTCACATACTTTGAACACATACTTCACAAGCGATGGGAAGGTCGTACAAATACAGTATGTAAAATAGCGCAAGTAAAACAGGTCTACTATAAAGAAAATAAATCTTTTTACTTCAAATAGAATAAGTTTGGACCACAGGAAATCACTTATAAAAAGCTTTGTGTAGAATTTAGTTCTATATGGAGCAGAGACTTGGACAATACTGAAGGCTGAGAAAACCAAATAGAATGTTAAAAATGTTATACTGGGAGTTGAAGAGGATTATAATTGATAGAGATAAATGGAGAAGGACATAAATAATCAGTGGCGCCGAAACCATAAGTCAAGGGTGGCAGCCGCCACCCTTCTTTTAATGGGTGGGTGTTGGGGGTCCCATGGTGGGTGTCTAAGCCTCTGAAGGATGAGGTTGATTACTCATTAGGTTTATAATGTTTATATTAATATAAGGTAATAGCCAATAGCCAATAGGAATAATAATTGTATAAATTTATGAACGTACAACATAATCAATACTCAATATATACGAATGACTATTATTCCCCCAAAACCAGTATCAGTGTTGTGTCTTGTTATAATAGCAGCTGTATCGCCTGTATGTATGTCCCTCAAGAGTATTAATAGTATTATGAATACGTCAATACGTGTTTCATGTGATCTATTTTGGTCTTTGGACAATTATTGTTGTTCCGTCTTCCGTGTGTAATCAGTTTTAATATCAGTATTCAGTAGAAATAATATGTAAAAACCACGAGTAATATTACTGACAAAAACAATCTATTTTTTTTTATCTAACTCGAAGCCTCGCCGCTTTGGATGATATTTAATTTTGCGATTTGTGACGATTGTAATTTGTAGCGTCTCGAGTCGACAGTCCCGCAGCGCCTGCGACGCAGCGTACGTTTTTCGATGTGTAATAATAACTTTTTCTACCTAACCTAACACTCGAGCTTTTATTATTTTTTGTTTTATTTTAAAATGCCTGCGTTTTGCGGTATTTGTAAGAGAAGTAGAGGAAGTTTAAATAAAACAAATTGGCAGAGACACGTCGAGTCATGCAATAAAAAAATTAAAAAAACTCAAATTATTACGGCTTCTTCGTCTTCTCTTCAAAACTATTTTTCTAAGAAAAGAAAAATCGATGAAACTTTTGAGTTAGGTAAGTACCTAAGTGTTGTTATTATTAATATTTTAGATTCTGAGCGTAGCGAAAAAATGTATTGATTTTACAATGATGTGTTTCTTTTTATTATTTTTTTTTTTGAGTCTGTCATCACATTTCAGGACAGTAAAAATGCTTTTATTTTATTCAATAGTACTTTTTCTGATAGGATTATTTTGGTTTTGGTATACCTAACTAAAAGAAATGACCGTAGATGTATGAAATTTTGTCTGAATATTTATATTAGTATTTTATGTAAGTACACCATAAGATTTTCAAAATACATATTTTGACACTTTTTGAGCTTTTTACGGATCATTTCAAATTTAAATTTTTTTAGTTTTTTTCCTATAAATACCAATAAATTTTTATTTGTTGGGCCCAAAAGCTTGAAAATTTAATACAAGGCGCCTGATATATTGTTACAATAACAATTGAAAAAAAATATTAAATATACATAGACACACATTTTTTTTATAATCATTTAAAGTTCGAATTTTGACAAAACCTCGAAAATTATCAATCATTTTAATTAAATTCAAATTTGGACGAAATTACATATTAAAATCAATATTAACGATTTTGGTTATTTTGTTGTAATTTAAAAATATTATTCGTGCGATTGGAAATTTACCAAATAATACGAACATATTAAAAAATTAGGAGTGTCTGTTTCAACCAGTTGTGGAGATCAACGAAATGGTTCAAATTTGGTGGATAGTATTAAAAACATTCCAGGTAAATTATAAAGCATAGGTATTATTATGGATTTTAATTTTTATGTTTTCTAAATAAATTAAATTTTGCATACAATTTAGAAGTGTCTGTTTCAACCAGTTGTGAAGATCAACGAAATGGTTCAAATTTGGTGGATAGTATTAAAAACATTCCAGGTAAATTATAAAGCATAGGTATTATTATGGATTTTAATTTTTATGTTTTCTAAATAAATTAAATTTTGCATACAATTTAGAAGTGTCTGTTTCAACCAGTTGTGAAGATCAACGAAATGGTTCAAATTTGGTGGATAGTACTAAAAACATTCCAGGTAAATTATAAATCATAGTTATTATTATGGATTTTATGTTTTCTAAATAAATATAATATCATATAGATATTTTTCTGAAAATGTACCTGTTGTAATTATTAAATCATTAGCTATTTTACAAATTTCAAGCCATGTTGGCGATTCTAGTATTTTAGAAGCATAAGGCTTTCCATTTCCATCTCCACAAATATTGCGACAATAATCGACAATTAAAATATTTCCTTTAATTGGAATTTTATTTAGATTATATTTGATTATTTTAATATTATTATTTTTATAGTATTCATATTTATGAAATTTAACAAAGATTTCATTATTTAATATTGATTTTTCTATTTCTTTTTGCATTTCATTTTTTTGTAATTTGTTAAAACCGTTTATATAGTTGTTTCCATTATTTTATTATTTATTATATTTTTAATTTTTAAATTAATTTTTTCAATTTCTTTTTAATACATTTTGCAATTAAATATGCTATTTCGATTTTTATTTTTGATAGAACAATTCTATTAAAAAATGTTTTGGTGCATTTCAGATTTTTGAAAAATATTTTAAGTAATTATTGCATTTAAATGTCACGTGTGCCGAAGTCCTCCATAGGAAAATATTTTTAGTATTTAAGGAATATTGCATTTCAATTTCTATGAAAAAATATTTTAGGAAATATTGCATTTAAAATGAAAGTGTACCATAGTGACCCCTATACTACTTATATACATTAATAATCCATATAATACTAGTAAAAAAGAATTTAATTTGTATATTGATAGTAGTATAAATTTGCCAATCCTAGGACCCCCACCGACACCGCCACCGCCACCGCCTCATTGACACGGCTACCGCCACCTCTCCGCTTCACCACCCAGCCATAGATAGCCCGCCACCTCTCCACTTCACCGCCCAGCCATAGATAGCCCGCCACCTCTCCACTTCACCACGCAGGCATAGATTGCCCGCCACCTCTCCACTTCACCACCACCACCACCGCCACCGGCAACAGCCCGATCGCGTACGTGCGCTACTATGCGTTATCATATTACCGTTAACACTTGTACCACAGAACAAACAGAAGGGAATCTTATGGCTCTTATCGAAAAACCGTCCGACATTTCTAAATTTTAAACGTGCTGCCACGTACCGAGAAATTCCCTTTTTTTAAGTTTTCTGTGGTTTGTGGCTACACTGTTAATCTGCAATTCCACTCATAACAACAACAACCACACATGGCCAACACGTTTGTCGATTTTCGTACTCCATCACGGTTGCGTCTCGAATTTTTTGCTCTCCTAAATACAAACTTTTTTGTATTTGCTGTTATTTGCTGATATTTGTTTTGGTATTGTATACATTATTTACCAAAATAATGTCTTTACTCGTTAAAAATGCCGCGGGTTGTAGATGCTCGTTGGCGTATTGTACCAGCCTTTGGTCAAACAACAATGATGAAATACGGATATCATTTTTTAAATTTCCTAAAGACCATTCAAGGTAAGAACAAATTATATTTTACAGTATTTACCAAGATACTAGATGTTAAATATAATTATTTTTACTTTAGGTGTGCTTCTTGGGTTGAGAAATGCGGAGCTCAATACTTACCGACTGCAGACCTTG